CCTTTTTCCATATTTTTCAGCATTTCTTAATGCCTCCAGTGCCTTTTCTTCTCCCTCTATCATCCCTCCCCCTCCTCTGTACATTGCCTTTGGCTCAGCCAAGGTGAGGATGCTCCAGCTGGATGGTGCAGGCAGGGGTTGTGGAGCCACCTGTGCCTGCCTCCTCCATGTGATACTGGAGTGTCTCTTCAGGCTCTCTCATGAGTTGGCAGCTGTCCTGGTGCTGGCTTCTTGATAGTCATTATGGGATGACAAATACACAGTGCTTGGTTGGTAGATCTAAAAGGCTGGAGATTTCTTGAGGCAGGTGTTGTGACGCCTAATTTTACCAGCATTAAATGCCAAGCCTTTTTTGTTTCTTTTTTTTTTTTTTTTTTTTTTCCTTTATGAGCAATAAATTGCATTGTTTTAAATAAGGAAGTCTATGTTAAAAAGCTGTGTAAAACCATTATATTGTAGCCAACACTCCTGCTTTTCTAATTAGGTCATTTGAAAAAAAGATGACCTTTTACTTTCTGTGCTGCTTTTCTAGGGTCACATGTTTCTAATTATCATCTGTATTTTACTTTGCAAAGCTGTTGACAAGCTGTTACTCTGTGTGCGTGTGTTCATTTGTGTGTGTCTCTGTCTGTCTGTGTTTTGGTTTGTGTGAGAGAGAAAAAGAGGGCAAAAGAAGATAAATGGTACACATACTATGTAGGGTTGCTGCAAGACTCCAGCAGCATAGAAGGACACATGCACTAATTTTAAACTGAGAGTGACTGGATCTATGGGATGAAAACACCCAAACGAGTTCTCCACTGTTTGTGTCCCTTTCTGCCAGCTTCCCTTCAACTTGTCCAAAGACCCTTCATGAATGCTTGTGCTGAACATCATGTAAACCAGACCATGAGCAAACCGTGAGCGGTCCTTTGCCTTCCGTACAAATGCAAACTGGGAAGTGCATGAAGAGATGACTCTATGACTGGGGTCAATAGTGAAAGAAAAATGTTTAAAAAAACATCCAAAAATATTTCTCTATATGTACTTTGAATATAGAAAATCTGCCATCAGAAGCAGAGAGAGAGAGATTATAATTACTTGCCTCATAGCAGTTCTTATGCTCAGCCCTGATAATGAGCACAAGTGTAGACCAACCTGAACTTCTTGCAGAACAATGAGAAAATATAATAATGGGGCTTGACCTCTGAGAGCTTTGGTCCTTTTATGTCTAGCAGCACAGAGACACAGAGCAACTCTGTGGTTATGGGCAATAAGTGGCAAGGGCAGCATGTGAGGTCCTGAGCACTGAGCCTGAGTGAACATGAAGCTCCAGGCTGGTATTTCTGGGTGCAAATGACACCTTCTCTGCCTGAAGAAGGTATGAGAGCCTGTCTGGAGGAGCAGAGCTATGGCCACAACTTTCTGCTTCAGGCACAAAGGTTCACAAAGGTTCACGCTGGCTACTCTGCAGGGAGTGTTTGCCAATTGTCTGGGGCTCCAGCAGAGTCACAGCAGTTTTGGGATGAAAAAAAGAGTGAAAAAGACATTTGGGAGGTTTTGTTGAAGTAGACAATATGTACAATGAATACTTTAAGCAAAAATACTGTAATCTCTTTGCACTAGAACTGTACTTCTGATTTCATCAATTGGGTCTACTTGACAATAAAAGGTGCTGCTGCTTTGGACAACAGACCCATACATGACCTTCGGAACTGGGCCACTAGCTTGTCTAAAAGGGAATGTTTACACTGTATTTACTTCAGCTGGATGTTTAGTCCTTAATTAGCCCAGCTGATCTATTGTGCTTCCCTGTGTAAACTTCTGGTAGGTAGTTGTAAACTTAGTGGTGTGATGAACTGTTAATAAATGAAAAGACCTTCTGACTTAGTGTAGTGATTCATTGGGCATTCATGGTTATTTAATTTGTACAGTAACTGGAAAATAAAAACAAAATCCTTGAAATCTGACACAGGGTTTTACTTGCTGCTCCAGGAATGAATTTCATGTTATGATTTCTTATAGGAAAAATCTGTTTACAAAGAAGACAGGAAAGGGGAAAGAGCTCTTATCTGTTAGCACTGCTTAACGAAAATAATGTTATCATTTCACGTGAAAGGGTGAGAGCACATATTATTTAAGAAAGGTTCATGAGTCAATTCATAATGAAAATGCAATTTTATCCATTTTTATTGAGGATGTATTTCATGGGTTAAAAATAGGCCATGCAGCAAGAGCACAGGCAAGTGACTGTTATAATGAATGGCCCTGATTCAGAAAATCACTGAACAGGTGCTGGATGTTAAACTTGATTTTTTGGATGTCAGTTTTGAAACAAGGTACCAATATTGCACAGGCTTCCCAACAGCAACTGAAATGTTGCTATGACAGTTTTCCAGGATTCTTTACTTCTTTTCTATCTGTAGGTGGATTCCAGGAAGAGGCACAAACCAGCATTTATAGAAAACTGGATTACCTAAAAACTGGTGTTAAAATGGAGCTGGCATTTATTTTTTTATATGCATGAGTATCTCTGTGTACACACACACAGAGGCACAGACACAAATAAGTGTGAATCATTGAATTTCACTTGATTTTGGTGTCTCCTGGTGCAAGACCTACCAGGATCACTGTGTGGGTCTAGGGAGGTATTTCCTGCATGGCATGAACATCTAACACCGGTGTGCAAATCCTGTGGCACTTGCCTTGTGGTCATCATTTACAGCCCTTGCCCTGCTGCATTCAGGTTCAAAGTTATATAACAACTGCAGTCCTTGTGCTTGGCTGCTTGGGTAAACACCTTGATTTCAAAATGAAAAAGAACAGACAGACCTATTTTCCTGAAAAGGCTATACTTAATACAGCAGAATGGCAGAACCAAGATGAAATCCAACCAACCGTGTCACAAACAACAACAAAAAATTTCTTGGTCTGAAAAACACTTTTCAAAATTGCTTCAAAAGTAAGCCTAATTGTAGATCTCCAGCCTGGAGCAATTAGTTCCATTTTACTAAGTAAAATAAAATCTTTAGACAAATCACACATAATTTGCTTGTTTGTCTTTGAGATTAACAGAAATATTTTGTTGGTGATCAAGGGGTAGAGATCAAGCAGTGTTCTGGGGATTTCTGTTATGTACAAATTAACACACTGCCGATGTGGTCCACCTATGCTATGTGTCAGACCTCACAGCTGTCATGTGCAATCAGTTCACTACAAATCTCCATGGGGATGTTTTGGAGGCAACTGAACCTCACCAGGGCCACCTACATGCTTAAGGAGAGCGACACATTCGAACATTTCACTAACTATTGAGGTTACTCACATAAGGTCCTGTTCAGACCCAAATTGATTGTCTGCCAACCAAAGTGAGAGCAAGCCATCCCTCTGCAAGTATAAGAGTACACCTTGGTGTACTATAAACCCTGACCAGCCTTGAGCCTGGGGTGCCTTCCAACCCAAGTTATTCTGTGATTGTCTAGGTTTGTAGTGGCTCATACCTTCATACCCAAGCCAGGTACCTTGCATGGATGTGTTTGCCCATGCTGTTCCTGCACTGTCCCCTTCTCCACACCAGCTCAGCAGCAGCTTGTTATCGCTCCTGTCATCTCAAGATATATATGAGTTACAATTAAACAAATATTTTTATGGCCTGAAAGCGGTATGAGCAATACTTCTGGTCTCTGCTTTAATTCTTGGGTCAGAGCCTTTCTGTCAGTGTTACTTACATGATGCATTGCCTTGAGGAAATATAGTAAGTAATAAGATGTTCCTGAGTTTATAACTAGGTTTTCTGAATGTCTTCCAAGTCTTCTCTGCCCTGTTTCCTACAGGTAAACAGCAACACATACCCGTAAGAGGGACCATAATATTAAAAAAAACCACCAAAAAAAACGGAAAGAAATGGTTAAATCGACCTACATACTAGAAATTTTGCTGACCAGATTATTTAAAAGGCTAAAAGGCTGCAGATGTCAAATCCATATATGTATCAGTAAAAATGATCATGATAATCACAGCTTATAAAATAGAGCTGAAATGCTTCATTAGGTACTGACAGCTTCTAAACCATGTTGTCACTTTCTGAAAATGTGTCACAGTGGCATTTATTATTTTTTTCCTAGAGAGGAAAAGAAAGAAATAGAGAATTTCACTGTGAAGCATGGATGAGCTGAAAGCAAATCAAAAAGGTCTCTTTTTGAGCCAATGGTGAGATCATCATTCCCTTTCAGCAAAGCAGGACAATGTATTAAATAAAACTGCTCTTAACCTGTTGGACACTTGAATCCCTTGGGTTTCTTGTAGTTATTCTATTGAAAAGAAGGCTTAAGAAGTACAGATTTCAACAGCTTTTCAAATGCCTGTGTCTCCAAGTAAGGAAAAGTAAAATTTAAAGGTAAAGTGAATTCAGTGATACATTCATATTACAGTAACTTCCATTAATTTTTTTTTCCTTTTCAAAACCATTGGTTTGGTTTTCTAAATACTTTTAAAATTCGTTTTCCGAAGAATTTGAATATGGCTTAACAGTTAATTTTAAAGATTCAGAATAATATCTGTATTTCTTCCATGTAAAGACCCTTTCCATCTTTACAGGAATTTACAGGAGTAATTCTTAGAAAGACAGGAATATTTCACTTAGAAAAAAAAGGCATATGTTTGTGGGAAAAATATACCCTTGTGTAGTCAAAAGAAATGATATGCATCTAAGAACCCCATTCAAAATATATTTTAAGTGATATTTTAGTAATGACTGGGCCTACTTCTGCATAGCTTAATAATGCTGTCTTTCACTGAAACGCCTTAAAATTAGTTTCCCAGGCTGAGCCTACACATGCAGTACACAAGAAAATCCATCAAACTGACCTCTGAAGTCCATCCAGCAGGGGATTTTCCAGCGCTATCAACTTTTCAAGTAAGTGTAAAAGCCTGATGGAAGTTGTCTATACAACAATTTTCCATCTATTACATGTAGCCACCAAAATAATTCACCCTCTAATATGGAGAAATCACATGTCTGCTCTGGATTACACCTCTTTTATTGTTGCATAAGGATTCACAACGATTCCTGCTTCTCCTTTGTGTACTTTGTGATCACCACAGCATTATTCTGCCCTGGGAAACAAGCAAAGAGTGAGATAGAGTTTCCATATTGGGCTATATTTAATACTCCTCATCCAGACAGAGATGATGGCAGGGAGACTTCAGCTATGTTTGCACCAGAAATAATTAGACTGTGTCCAGTGTTAGCAGTAAGGATGAGAATAAAAATAATTACCTGTGATGTGGTCAGGGGTCATGTAAGAGCCAGATGAGATCATCTTATATTTTAAGCTATTAAATGCAAAAGAGGATAAGATTTACTTATTAAGTTCATTTCCTAATCATTCTTTTAAGTTTTTAATGAGTGACAAACTGACTCTGGATACAAATTTATGATTTCCCAAAATAACAATTTGATTGGTTTGAGTGATGTCTTGCATCAAGTAATCACAGTTAATTTTGCTTCTGAAGCAATTTGACTTTTCCAGTCTATCACATCTCCCATGTGCACAGCTGTATTTCCATGGCTGTGGCCCTGTTCTTTGTCTACTGTAAATCCCCAGAGCCCAGAAAGAGTTTCTTCTCCAATCTTTCTTCCTGTCCTCTGTATGGATCACCTGACTGCCCTCTCTATCTGAGCTTCCTTGTGCTTCCAGCCACATTGAAGCCTCAGTTTCTTAGCAGGATGGGAATGTGGAGATAATTAAATTGAGAGCAGCAACACGTGGTAACTGTGGGATGACTTTTTCCCACACCACCATCTCTATTAAATAAGTAAATGGAGATCAGGATGGTGTCCCTAGCCATTTTCTTGATGGCATGGGTGATAGAGGAGAGGGAAAGAACAGATGGGCTGCTCCTGGCTGAGTGAGGCTAATCTAACAGAGCTCATCTACTTTTCTGCACTTCCTTATGTAACCATGTCTTTAGCAAAAAAATAGCATCAACATCCATCTTCTCTTGTACCTGGAGGTACTGAAATCACAGTTTTCCCCTTTGATGCCAAATCCAGGCCTGCAAACCCCTGTTACACACCTAAATAAATATGGTCCGCTTTGTCAGGAGCAACCTTAAGAGGGGAAGGTGTGTAACATTTCAGACAAGGTACTTGCATCAAATTCTGCTATGCAAACGATTGCTTCTCAATCACCCTGAGTCTGACTCTGTATGCACGTGTGGATGAAGGCTCCGCTAAACAGGGAGGCAAAGATGAAAGAGTGACAGCAGTACTGTTGGGAAGAGGAATGAATCTATTACAAAGGAAAAGTGAAGTCATAAACCACTCTGTAACAATGGCAGGGGGCTGGCTCAGAAATATGGATGGTGTTGGCTGACTCACAGCACAAAACCAGGCAACTGCTAACCAGATGTGTTCAGCTGTATACGTGCTACCCCTGCTCTGTGCACAGCCTGTCGCATACCCCAGCTGCATTGCTCAGAGTGGGCTGTGAGAAGCAGAAGGGAAGGCCAGAGCACAGTTGACATTTTTCCATTTTATTGTTTGTTTTATATCCTCCCACTCCTCATTTTCCTCGTCCTACACCCTGGTGCTGCATACTGATGAGAAAATACTTGGTTCAGACCCAGGCAGTTATTTTTGGTTATTAAGGTTGGTGCTGGCTGCCCAACTTGCCAGTTGCAGAGGGCTGTTGGTTTTGCATCGTCAGCATTTAGGAACACATTTTAAAACAATATTCTGAAAACAAAATATGCACACACAGAGGTACAGACACATGCACATACAGAGCCTTCCTTCCTGTGCATTGAACGAAGTAAAAGCAACTGCCTTTTGGCAGTTTTTACAGATCTCCTCTGCTTTCCAGGTCACATGAACAACATTTGTAAAAAGAAAGGAAAATAGCAAAGGAAGGTATTAGATGATGAATTAAGAGACCATGCTGTTAGGAGAAGTGTGTGCAACAGGAGGGGCATGGGGATAAATGGTATTACAGGAGGATGTATGTGTTTTGTTCCCCTTGGAAAGTGAATCACAGAATCAATTAGGTTGAAAAAGAACTCTGTGATCACGTCCAACCTATGACCAATCACCACAGTGTCAACCAGACCATAGTTCAAAGTGCCATGCCCATCTTTTCTTACACAGTTCCAATGATGGTGACTCCACTGCTTCCCTGAGTAGTCAATTCCAATGTCTAATCACCTTTTCTGAGAAGAATTTCTTCCTGATGGCCAACCTAAACCTCCCTACGCCTTCTATCTTCTGTAAATTAATACACAAAAAAATTAGGGAAATCACCTGGGATGAAATTATCTGAATATGAGCTTTCTCCTAACTGTTTCCAGATAACAAAATTTCAAGCAAACTCCAGTCAGTAAATGGGGCACTCAACTTCCCTATTGAGCTGGGCATGCTCAACTTCCTTTTCTGTAACCAAATTCCTGGGCACAGATCTGCTCAACATCTTTGCCTCCCTTTGGTGAGCTCTGACTGAGACACTCCCCCTACTGCCATCACAGCAGGACTCATGCTCCCCCTGAGACTCAAGCTGAGTTTTAGGTTAATTCTTGTCACTGTTGTCCCCTGATGGGGGGAGACAGGTGAGGAGCCAGAATATGATATTGACACACCATTTGGCCATGGTACTTTGGTTCTTCTTCCTCTCTGTATTTTTGCCACAGGGGTTGGGTGATTATGACCAATGAGACAAGTAGCACAGCAGAGAGACTTACGACATCTTGTGACATTTTGTAGTTATTCCATTTACCAGTCTTCTGGACCTTGAAATGATATCCAGATAATTCCCTTGAAAAAAAAAAGGAAGCAAAACTGGGCCAAGAGCTACCAGATTGTTTGGTCCTTTGTTTTTATTGGAGATGACTGCTGCACCCACCCTGTGCTTGGCGGCAGAGCATGCAGTTGTGTTAGGAAGTGAACAAAGCCGGCTGGTAGTGAGCTCAAGCAAAAGTGTGTGCTAACCTCGTGCTGTAACTCGTGCTGTGATTTGTTTTAGGTAAGCTGTCTCAGGAAAACCTCGTTAAGAGCTCATTGCTATTGCCAACTGCCTTCTTCAGTAAAGGAACAACTGTGTGTTACTTCTAAAATTACAGGCTGCCTTGCAAGCCTGGATGTTGGCAGGAACACTGCCTTTTAGATATCTTGCTTTAGGAAGTCCTGTGGTGGCCAAGATGATCATGCTGGTGTTTTCTGTGCCCCCCAGATAAGAAGCATGCCAGGGATGCCTGTGTTGGCAGCTGAGCATCAAGATTGCGGCTGTTTAGGCGTCTTGCTGGTCTCCTTTCAAAATTTTCTGTGCTACATACCCAAGGATCCTCTCCACTGGGGTGTGTCAGTCACTTCATATCACAGTGCACGAAGCAAAAGGCATCTCCATCTGCCCAGGAGCTCTAATGTATGACAGCTGTGACAGCAGCTGAGGCTTGGTCCCCCTGGCTGTATGAAAAGGGCCTGAAAAAAGGTCAGCAGACTCACAGGGAGATGTTGTTGTGATGCTCATCCCCTCATATAGCAGATGAGGTGCTTTTAGTTCAACATTTTGAAGCCAGAATTTGGCCCCTCACTGTGAAGAGAGTCTGCTCCAATGGTCAGAGCTGTGGGAAGGAGTGCAATTAGCCCCTTGGAAATGACCACAACCATTGAGAAAGGCTGGGTCTGAGCTGGGAACACACATGTGGATGATGGAGCCAGTGCAATGGGTTGGATGCTTAAGCATCTCCGAATCACCAGACTCTGGAGGGGATGTCTCTGCCTGCAAAGAAATTCCACATTTTTCCCCATTTATCTCCCCCTTGTAGCAGCCTCTGACTGCCCAGAGCAATCCTGAAAACACCCTTGTGCCTGTAAACACCAGCAAACCAAGTGCACTAAATCTATGCATGGCTATTTTTGGTAAGCTAGAGGAAAAATAGCAGCTTGCACTGGGAAAGCCTAGGAGTCTGCCAAGGCCATGATGTAAAGCTTTCCAAGTGAATGCTATGGCTGAATCAGAAAAAGCATGTCTGAGTCAGGAGCTGCTGTAAGACCTTGCCTTCGGAAATTCAATCCCTCTTCTCCCACAGTGAGGTAATATTTCATGCTGTTTAACCCTTTGTTCTCAGCAGAGCAGTGAGCATTATAGCTGCATAATTCACAAACTTCATTCAATTTAGGAGGAAATGCTTTGTTTATTATTCAAAATTTGTCTGCTTACAATGAAGCCAGAATCTACTAATGAAGACAGAAATTCCCAAAGGAGAAATAATGAAAATCACTGTTATTTTGATTTTTTTTTTTATTTTTAAATCACATCAGTGTATTCTTGCACAAGAGCCATAATCAAATAGATGCTAGCTCAGAAAATGCAACAACTTTGAAAGACAGATTTCCATATTTCCCCTTCAAGTTTTTATTTGTATTTGTGGTTGATTTTCTTCTTCTGTAAGATGTAGATAGGGTTGTTAACATGGCTATCTCTACAAAAAAGGGGATTCAGCAGCAAAGAACATTTGCATATTATTGGAACAGAAATTATTTCCCTAGCATTCTCCCTAGTATCTCTGCAATGAAGGTGATATCAGGAACCTAAATGATTTTGGAACTTTGACGCAAAATACAAAATCTCTTTCCTTAGTAAGAGTGATTTGCAGATTCTTAATATCTCTCTGGGAAAAGGTTTATTAATGAGGGAATGGTTAGTATTAGTAAACTATCTGGATTACACAGCTGGTCGGTTTAAGCAACATCAAACCCTCTCAGTGTTGCCATCACTGAGAAATGTTGCCAATGCTGAGAAAAAATGCACAAGAATATAATTTTCTCTGAAAATAAAGAGAGATTTGGGGCTAATGCTAATAAACCTCAGCTTGTAAATTTTGTGTTTCTGAACAACTCATCTGACCACATGCAATGTGCTTAACTCACCAAATAAATGGCAACAAAAGAGATTTTGTTTCCTAACAATTATTTGGATAGGTTTCTTCATCCCAGCCATAGGAGCTAAGGACCTAGGAGCGAATTAATAATGTATTCAAAAACCTATGAAATGCAAATATTTTAGTTGCAGAAAACTAGGAAGCCAATCAAAGCCTTTCAGTCCTGAAGCAGAAAACTCACATCTATGCTGTCCACACCAGTTTCTGAGATGTTGTTGAAACGCACTTGCCTCAAAACTTCTATGTAGTCTTGTGTCTCCTGCATTGCAGGTCAGAATTAAATTGACTGTCCTACATGCCCAAACAGAGACATGGACGTAAGCAGGTATGAAAAAGTTTTCAGTCTTTGTGGAATGGTAGAGCAAGCTGATTAAAGATTGTAGGTTCCATTGATTTACCTCTTTACATTACTGCTGTCATTTCAGAACAGGCTTGATTACTTTGTCAGCTATGTATATGAGGCTTTCTAGGCTAACAGAAAAGTCTTTGGAACCCAAAGTCCTTTCAGGTGTTCCATGCTCGTGATCTGGGAGACCTCAGTGCTTCAAGCACCGGTTCTAGTTTGGAAGAAACTAGGTAATGACAATAATTTAAAATACCACAAATCATTGAAGGTACTTTAGGTGCAATGACATTTGGTGCTTCCAAAACTGTTGCCTGAAGTGCTTGTGTTCCTGTCCTTTCTGCACTCCTGATTGCTCTAGATGAAGATGGGACAGGGATGCAGTTCCTGCTCTCCCTCCATCTTCTGTAATTTTTCATTTAACATTGACTGTTTTGGAGTGCTTAAGCCAGGGAAGTGGTATAGGTGTTGGTTTGCATTAAGGATGTAAAATGAAATAGAGCTGTGTTATAATGAGTTACTGCTCTCATGACAACTGTTTATTACCGTCAGTGGTCTTTATGACGCTTCTCTTGCAGAGGCCAATTTAGTCTTTGGGGCATTTTAACCATCTTTTGCTTTCCTCAGCCACTGGAGAGCTCTCCCGGTGCTGCTTACCCTCCTGAGTTTTTTGCGTTGGAGGCTACACTTTTGACCCAAGCTCTTCATTGTTTGCTGTTCCTCCATGAATTTGCCTTATGGCTTTTCACTGGGGGAATGGCACTGAATATTTCCTTCCAGCAGCATCCTGTTCAATTAGTGCTCTATGACACGTTGCAGTCCCTACTCAGCAGCAGCTGGAGAGTTGAAACATAAGCTTGTTTTTTTGCTTGGTAGCCCTACAGAGGCTTCTCCATCAAGATCTGAACCTCTGGTGAACAACTGAATCTCATTCCCTGCTCATTTGCATTTTATGTGTAGCATCTTACTTTGCATTCATCTATATTTATGATACAT